AGGGTTCCCATTTGAGTCCTGGAAGTGAAAAATGAAGGCATTTTCACTGAAAACATTGTGTAGTAGGATGTTAACCTTACAGAATGGATGCGGGGACAAAGGGTAGCATGATGGGGATGCAGTGAAGCCTGCTGTTTTCTGCTGCTAGGGGTGAGGCCCGGCTGTGCCCAGCAGGGCCCACAGAGGGCTGTGTGCAGCTGGGCGGTTTTGTCTTGAGCAGGCATGAGGCAGTAAAGGCTCACCTGAAACCCCAGGGGATACGGAGGAACTCAGCAACCCCTCCAGAAAGGAAGGGGCAGGAGTGGAGGAAAGATGCGTGTCACTGTGTGTGTGCTTGCAGGAAGACCCAGACACCAGTCAGAGCTCCTCCTGGCTTCTCAGCACTGTTAGAGCAGAGCCTGGTGGGCAATGGCCTCTTGGGGCCAGGCTCTGTCCCTGCAAGCTCGGGGTCCATGGGCAACGGCTTTGCCTTTCTGAGCCCACATTTTGTCGCTTGCCAAGGTGGATGGTGATAGCACCCATGTCGCGGGATTCGTTAGGCTGTGTATGAAGCCTGGAAACATTTGAGTTTGGGGGTGAAATGGAGCTTCCAGCTGAGGCACACCCTGACTGTGGCGCTTGACTGAGCTATCTGACTGTGCCCCCTTGACTCACGGATGGGGAATATCAGTGGTCAGGAGTTAGAGACTGGGAAGGGTACTGCTTGGGGGGCTCTGTGGGTGGGGTGCCCCTTCTTTGGGAAACTCACATAAGCCCTTTAGCACAGGGGATGCGGTGCCCCAAGGTCCGATACCTGCCTGAGGCATCTGAAAGACCAGGGGCCACGCTTGTGGCTGTCTGTCTCTGGTTGTTAGGGAAACAGCCTGTGGTGTCCCCTGGGATAACTGGACACAGCTCTGAGAACCACCCTGGGGTTTTCTGGGGTCCTGCCCTGGAGAGCTCTTACGTGTGATAGACAGGCCTCCACAGGAGCCTGGATGTGGCTGAGTTCCTGGGGTTAGTCACTGGCCACAGTGGCCACAGTGGTGTCTCCTGCCCCAAGAAACTAGGTGGGTAGGGAAGCAATGTAGGAGGCAGGGGCTTCCCCATAGATTACCCATATGAGATGAACTGATTCTGAACCCCAGCCAGGCCCAGGGATCTCTGAGGCAAACCCCAGTCAGGAATATCTTCCCATCCTAATATCTCTGTTCCTTCTCTGGAGGGTTCAGAGGAAAAGTTCATTTCAGTTCAGTTCAATTGCTCAGTCATGTCCGACTCTGCAATCCCATGGACTGCAGCACGCCAGGCCTCCCTGCCCATCACCAACTCCTGGACTTTACGCAAACTCATGTCCATCGAGTCGGTGATGCTATCCAACCATCTCATCCTCAGTCGTCCCCTTTTCTTCCCACCTTCAATCTTTCCCAGCATCAGGGTTTTTTCAGATGAGTCAGCTCTTTGCATCAGGTGGCCAAAGTATTGGAGTCTCAGCTTCAGCGTCAGTCCTTCCAATGAACACTCAGGACTGATCTCCTTTAGGACAGACTGGTTGGATATCCTTGCAGTCCAAGGGACTCTCAAGAGTCTTCTCCAACACAACAGTTCAAAA